TTTCTTGCTGAAATATGGTAACCCTATGCACTATGCCAGCTCCCCAGCATGAACTGTGGAGGGGTTGGGATGGGAAACAAGCAGGGGTCTGTGATATAAAGTGGGCTGGACACAGACATTTGAGTTTGCTTTGAAGAAACATTCCGGCTCATTCTGTGTGTGGGGTGCAGGAATGGAGCTGGGGTGGGAGCTCCCTCTGTGTCTCACCATTTCATTGCTCCTTTTACCCTGCTGTGCTGAGGAGCAGAGGGATGGTAGAACTGCTTCCCCTAGCCCCAGAGCTGGAGCCCTAGAGATGGCCTCTATCATTCCAATTAGGCTGGCTGGATAGACTAGGGGGGTTTTTCTTAAAGGCCCAAAATATCAACCTCTCCCTTCCCAACATGATCTGGCTGGAATCATTTGCATTGCAAAAGCCCGTTGCCCAGGAGAAGCAAGGAGGCCCAAAGGGGCACCCCACTGTAACATATCAGTCAGAGGCTGTGGATTGTCCAGAGCTCCATACGCTTGGGCAGAGCTTGAGATCTTCCTGCTGTGTCACTCATTGCGAAGTGGGCATCTCCTCTAAGAAGGGAAGCTGGTAAGAAGCGCTGGCCCAGGTACATGAGACCTCTTTCAGTCCCTCAAGAGTGAACTCCTCTGGAGACAGGTTTCGCTACCTTCACCCCTCCCTGGGTAGCAGAGCCGGCTTTAGGAAGTGTGGGGCCCAATTTGAACAGTTTTGACGGGGCCCCGGCAAGGATGACTGAAAAAAGAAAAAACACGTAAAAAAACATCTGAGGCTTGTACTCACCGGGCGGCACTTGTAGTCTTCGGTGGTTTGTCCTTCACTCGCTCCGGGTCTTTGGTGGCACTGAAGGACCTGCTGCTGAAGTGCTGCCAAAGACCCAGAGCGAGTGAAGGACCCGCCGCTGAAGTGTCGCCGAAGACCCGGAGCGCTGCCGGGTGAGTAAAAATTAAAAAGGAGCCTCTAGCCAGGAAAGGGATTCTCGGCCACTTGCCCCCACCCCGGCAGCCCTGCCACTGGGCGCGGGGCCCTCTTAGGCGCGGGGCCCGATTCGGGGGAATTGGTGGAATTGGCCTAAAGCCGGCCCTGCTGGGTAGAACCCCCATGGTCTTGGTCTGATCCCTTGACTGGGTTTCTGGGCTGCAGCCCCCTGCCTCCCAATCGTATTAATGTAGCTGGCCCAGCTGGGCTGGGCCCCTGTAAACCCTTTGCCTCCAGAAGCCTGGGGCATCAGCTGAATAAAGTGACTGAAAACAAGGGCTTCAGACTTCCATATTAATAATTCACCCAAAGGTCAGTCCAAGCCACACCTTCCCTCTCACTTACACCTTCATCTTCCCTTGCAGCCTTTGGCAAGTCCTCTAACCCACTTACCTTCATCTCCAGCTGGAATAGCCTGCCTGCTGCAGGTGCTCCCTCAATCAGTGTGTCTCTGGTAGTGTCCTCCACACAGGCAACTGATGATGACCCACCTCCCCAAACCAGGGGAGGAGCTTTATAGCTGTTCCTGGTCTTTTACAGCTCTAGGCTTTCAGCCCCGTCACCCTCTCTGCCTGACACCTGGAGAACAGCAGCTTCCCACATAATAGCCTCTTAACCTCCTTGAAGCTGTTTACCCCAACTATTGCTTCATTTCCTGCTTGTTTACCCCAATAGCCTCCTTTGGCCGTACCCCAGACAGATGGGCAGGCTAATGCCAAGCAGGTAAACTGAGGCAAATAGGGTGTTCATGAAGGCTAATACCGATAGCTCCTGCATTCTCCACCTGTGCAGCCGAAGCATTGACTGCAAAGTGCAAACTAGGGTTGGAGCAGTAAGTGGGCAGCCCCTGGGGAATAGTGTCCCCCCGAAATCTGTCACTCGCCAGCTGTTGGGTTCTGGCTGAGGTAGCCAAATGTGTGATGTAGCTGAACCAGGGAGAGCAAATGGGCAGCACAGCAGAAAGCAAGGTGGGGTCCTTGTTGTTCCAGCTGCTTTCTCTGTGTTAGCGTCAATTGTTAATGAGCTCTGGAGGACAAGCTGGTGCTCATCTGGCTGTGGGTTGGGGAAGGGATGCAGCCTGCAGCCAGGCTGATACATATCAGCCACACTGGCTCTAGCAGCAACTGTCCCCAGGGGAGCTGCTGCCCTTCCGCCCTAGAGGAGTGAGCGGGGCCCCGGGCTTCGTGGGATGGAGGCAGCCCAGTGCGAAGGCATAGCACCCCCCATCCAGACCAGTCTCCTCCATGGATGATTTTGGTTGGGTGAAGGAGGTGAAAGACAAGCCCCTTTATGGCCTGGAAGCCTTCTCCTGAAATGGACACCCCAGCCATCTGTGGGGTAAGCAAGCTGTATTGCTGATTGTTGCTACTAGATGGCACCCTAGGACAGGACACAGGAAAAGTTTTCCTGAGACATGAACCTGGTAAGAGAGATGGGATCTTCTTAGGGGACTAAAGGCAAACTAAAGAGATAAACTACAAATCCTGATGTACTTCCCCTGAGACAGTGAAAGGAGGGAGCTAATAACTGTCATGAGTTTTATAGATAATAGCAGAATTTATATAGCTTTCTTCAACTGCCTTATACGTCCTATGCAATGATTCTCTGGTGATGATTCTCTATTCAGTTCTGTCAGATGGTCCACAGAACAGGTAGAATGCTCCAAAAAACCCAGCAGAACTAAGCATCAAGGCTCTTTAAATATCTGTAGCTCAGCTCCCTATTCAATTCGAGGGACCTTTCCCCATAGCAAAAGTATGCAGCATGTGCTAGCAAATCCTGTACAGCCCTAGTACTGCACTGTATTCCTGACCATCTGTCCCCCAGGGCTGGGACTCCCCACAGCTCTGCTCCTGCCCCTCTCACCTACCTTTGGAGTGAGTTACACACCTGGCATGGTTTTAGGGCTGTTCTTTAAATACCTGAGAGGAGGGACTCTGAGGATCACCATGGAAACAACACAACCAACCTCAGTCAGACACCATCAAGTTAATAGGTCAGCAAACACATTGTACATCAGCCCTAACCAAGCACACACACCCTGCAGGCAGGGGGAGCACTGAAGGTGCAGGCAGGAGCACAGAAAGGAGCGAAGGCACAGGAACAAGCACGGGAAGGAGTGGTGGAGCACTTGGAGAAGGAGAGGCAGAGGGAGGATGGGAAGAACAGCAGCAGCACAGGCAGGAGTGCTGGAAAGAGCAGTAGATGTGCCTGGGGATAGCACTGAAGGCACAGGAAGGAGAGTCAGGAGGAGTGTGAGCAGAGGCATCGGGAGAAAGGAATGATGGAGTAGTGGTGGTGGTGGCGGCGGCGGCGGCAGCACAGCACTGAGAAAAGGGGAGGGATAGCTTAGTGGTTTGAGCATTGGCCTGCTACACCCAGGGTTATGAGTTCAATCCTTGAGGGGGCCACTTAGGGATCTGGGGCAAAATCAGTACTTGGTCCTGCTAGTGAAGGCAGGGGGCTGGACTCAATGACCTTTCAGGGTCCCTTCCAGTTCTATGAGATAAGTATATCTCCATATTAAAAAAAACCCCAACAACTATTAACCAGGAATGTAAATTGCTTTCTTATCAACTACCAGTTTGTCAGGATAGAATGTATTGGGAAATCAGTTCTTATACATAAAAGGTATTGATTAAAATACAGGAATTGGTTATTATAGCAACTATAAGTATAAATGGAAAAGGGGTGTTATGTAACCAAAATAAAAAATAGTCAGTGAATAAGTATGTTATATATTTATAGTCCTTTATATTCATGTTAAATTCTATAAACTGTATGCTATGTAGATGCTGTGACCTTTCTAAGGGTATGTCTACACTACAAGAGTAGTTCAATTTTACTTAAATCGAATTTTTGGAATCGATATTGC